TTCTGAAAGAAAATAATTAAAACAGAACCATAACACAGAAATGAGCAACAGCAACAACCGGTTAGGTTGAGGACAACATCTGTAGTTGATGACAGAAAAATGATCAGAGCTGTGAAGAAAAACTGTAAAACAACTGTTGCTTAAGTTACCAACAACCTCCTCTGTGCAGGGGTGAAGGTATCACAATCTACTGTTCTCCAAAGCTTTTGACAGTAGAAATATAAAGGTGACACTGTGAGATGTAAACCTCTAATTGGCACCAAAAATAGAAAGGCCAGATGACACTTTTCTAAAAAGTAGAGAGATGAGCCAGTAGGGTTCTAGAACAAAGTGTTATGGACAGATGAGATAAAATATAAACCTCTACCAAAGTGATGGCAAGGTGAAAGTGTGTGGGAGGGAGTGAACCGCAGGTGATCCTAGGCATACCATATCTGTGAAACGTGGTGGAGGTACTGTAGTGTCATGGCTTGTGCACTGAAACTGCCTCACTCATCTTTATTAATGATGTAACTAATTATTGCAGCAGCAGAATGATTTCTGAAGTGTTCTGAAACATCTTGTCTGCCTATGTACAAGAAAATGTCTGCAGACTCATGTTCTGTCACTTTATCATGCAGCAAGACAAGGCTTGGACTTATATCCAATTGAGTATGCATTGCATTTGCTGAAAAGGAGAATTCAGTCAGAAACCCTTCCAAAACAAACAACTGAAAATGGCTACAGTAAAGGCTTGGCAAAGTATTTCTAAAGAACAAATCAAGTGTTTGATGAAGTGAATGGGTTACAGACTTAATGCAGTTATTGGGTACAAAGCATTTGCAACCAATTAGTAAGTTTTAAACTACTTTAATTTACTTTAATTTGCCTTTGCTCTCTCCTAAAATGGGGGTCTGGAATACAAAAATAGTATTTTTCTAAAACATTAAAGCATACAGTATATGCACAGAAATACCCAGAAATAAAAGGTGACGTTCTGTACTTTTGCCTCACTCATCTTGTCATCTCAAATCCAAATTGCTTGAGTATTCAGCAACAATTTTTATTTTGACTTCACTGCCCCAATACATACAGTATAGAGGGCACTGTAGCTCAAGATCATTGGCTGGAACTGAACAATAAGAACAATACGAAATCCCCAGACTTTTCTTGATTTTGTGGGACAGCAGCACCTTGAATATCAAATCATATCACCTGTTGCCCCTTCACATCAGTGTTTAATACTGTATGTCACATACATATGTCATGAAATAAAGTCCACTAACAGTATTACAGGAAGAGTATTTGTTTTATGAAACTGTGTTTGGGCGAAATTAGATTTTATTTTACTCTGATTAAGTTAGAAACTAAAGGTTAGTAAACTAAATTGTTTTTGAGATTATAGGATTAAAACTTCAAAGACCCTAGAGTCAATTATTCGTCCTACCTGGTACCATTATATGGCACCATAAGAGTCATGCAACATGAGATTCAGCTCAGGGGGGAATAAAGATGCTCTGTGAGAAATTGCCTTCATGCTGAAATGTGTTGGATTGCAGTACTTTGCTGTGACAAATCACATTAACAATAAGATCAAGGTAAAAGTAATGTGCTTCATAGCTCCTGTGTTTTCAAAGTTTTTTTTCAATTTTTTTCTGCTATGTGTCATAACCTCCAGTAAACTATACTGCAAGTACTATAGGACTTCACTCCATACAGTAGGTTGTTGCATTTGCACACTCAATCAGCTAACAAGTCTCCTTAAATAAGAAAGTGTCATCTACCTCCAGACCACTGTAATGTGTAACAGATGTATGAAAAAGTTCAAAGAACTCCAAATTCTGCAATGCACATTATATAAAAAGTATGCTTAAACATGAAAGTGCCCACATCAATGGCAATTTTATTTTATTTTCTAATTTGCTTGATACTTTTTCTTGATAATTCTAATCCCTATGCAAGTTTAAACTGCATTTAATGCAAAAGGATCATAAAAGGATCCGAATTATATTAATAAATAAAATAATTATGAATAAGCACATAATTACACCATGATTTGCATTGTATGAACAAGTGATTTTCTGATTAACCAAATGCTACTGTATATGTACTGTAGGCCTTAAACTGAATTTCCATTACATAGGTGACAACAAAGCGGTTAAGGGTAAAATTATTTTCTTTTGTAATGTTCTTAACAAGCATTACTTGTAAGATGAAAGCTGAATAATTTAAATGAATGTTGCAAGTCACAGCAGCTGTTTAGTACTATCCAGCTAAACCCCAAGTCTCACTCAGTTTGTGAGTAAAGAACATTTTTGGTCCCTTGTAATGCTCTGTGTTGTTACTATGGAATGACATTCAAACTTTATTGAACCAAAATTTTAAAGTTTCACAATAATAACAATTAAAACTATAATTAAGTTTGCCACATAACTAGAACCAATCAAATCACCAATGTGTATACATGTATACCACTTAATTTATAAGCAGTCTTAAGTAATCATATAACCAATTTATAAAAACAACTGTACATAATAGTCTTAATAGCATTTGTTATCCTTTATTACCACTTTACCAGAAGGTACATAAAGTATTTATGATGGCCCTAGCCCAAATATTACACAAAGACATGCTATAAATTTGTCTATTACAAATGATATGTATCATTATGAAAATGTACTGTACAGTATGTATCTGTTCTTTCTTTTGGAACAACAGTCATGAAAATGTTGCTGTACAGTACCATTATACCACTAAACATTGCCTCTGTTAAGGTGTTATCATGCTGCATATTATTAAGACCTCATTTTTATTTATTTTTATTACATTGCTGTTCTTCAATCCCTGTGACATGGAGCATAACAGTTGCAAGAGTTTGAATTAGCCATCTGTCATGTCTGCATGTAGTATTGCAGGACACTGCAGGAGAAGACCTAGAAAACTGCAAGATTCCTCATTGAAACAGGCAAAGGCAAAAGCATTTTTAACAGTCCTTATCCCAAGGATTTTCCTTTATGTAGTATGTTTGTCTAATTGTATTAAGAGGTCTGCTAGAAATATTTCCCATGTACAAAATCAGTCACTTAAGTAACATATACAGTACAGCCATAACCCTGCAATGTAATGTTAGTTAAAAAGGTCAAGTTAGTAAAATAGGTCAGTCCTCTAAAAATGTGACATAACATGGCGTAGTTAGATAAGACGCAATTTGGGCTAACTTGTTTTCCTTTATTGTACATAAATCCAGACTCAAACTCATTAGAAAAAGGGCTAAACCAAGCTATATCAGATTTACTGTACATGTTTAATGTAAGCATACTTCAGGACAGTGTTGGCAATAACACAGATTAACTAGTCTTCTTAGGAGGACATAAGATGTCATTCAGTACATTTTGCCCACTTGACTGTTGCCATTGTGCCATAGTAATTGGTTTTTACTCCAGCATTTTCCTAACTTGAATTTTTGTACTGTATATACTAGTTTCCTGTTTGTGGATCGAATTTCAATAGATTATCCCTGGCACAATGACAGCTGTTGTGTTCTCAGAACATCTAATTCCTTCTTAGAAAGGTGCTAAGCTAACAATTAAATTACCCAACTTTGCCTAACAGATCAGAGTAGTAACATAAAGATATTTTCTTGTTTGCAGTTAAATGATGTGGGATCCATATTAAACACCCATGTATTCAACATGAAAGTAGGAGGGTCCGAATATTTAATGTTACTTCAACACCCTTTGTGTATGCTGTTTAGAGTTTTTGACTCTTAAATTAACCATCACATCCATATTTGAAGTTTGATTTATAGAAATGATTAATGTGCCTACTGTAGAGAGAACTTTTACACTGCTTTTTCTAACCACTACTTCAAACTGCTGCATAACAAACATTACTGTCTTTCTATAAAAAAGGACTATAGTTTATGCTGACTCACTTTTTTATTAGGACCTGCTGTGCACATCCTGGGTAATGGTGATACTCCTTAAACCTAATCCTAAAAAGACTATTAGGAGGTTAGGATTAAAGCCCTCTTTATAGGCTGAGTGACTTCATGTTACTTTCATCTTCTATCTACTGTGACATACAGTAACACCAGCAGATCAATTGTTTTTACATTGGCTAAGACAGCAGATGTTTATCCTTTCAACTTCTGCTGGTTACACAATAGAGAAAAAATAATTAACTGTAGCTATATACTGTAAGGCTTTTTTGTCCTATGGATGACTTGATGTGTCTTTTCTGATTTTTGGAGGATTAACACAGTATAGTTACTGTATATTGCCATCTCTTTTTTGTGGGCTGCAAGTCCTCTAGTTTCATTTATAAGGAGTTTGACCGCTGTTATTTTGTAGGTATCACTGAGTTGGGACTTGGAAAGTATAAGTAGAAAAACGTCTGCCCACCCCTGGTTTAGCTCGTATAAGTGCAAATTATAGTGGCACTAATTATATTAATTAAAAGATACTCAAGATGCATTTAAAGTTTTGCATGTCATAGAAGATTAGTGCATTGCGTTATCATCCTGTTTAGACAAATTAGCAAGGATTTAAAGTAGTTTCACATTGTATTCATTCAGTTCATTCAATTCTAAGGCATTGTTTAAAACTCTATCCTGTCTCAGAGTTATTAGGGGACCACTTAAAGCCTTCTCCATTTTAAAATGTTAAGGCATCTTAAGTCTATGTATATTTCTATGTGCATATGTCTCATTATAGAAACAGAGATTTTATTTCTGCAATTGAAAATACATTTGATTGTTGCTTATTAGTTTTCAGGATACTATTTAATACATTTTAGATGCTTCCAATGGTAGGTATATTTCCAAATACTGTATATACGTATACTGTACATATGTATATACAGTATCTAAGGCTTTGATAATTACCGTTTCTAGGTTTTACATGGGTATTCCCATCCTTTCCCCTTTGCATTCCCTTTTCCCACATTTCAAATCACTTGACTGATTTTCTTTCCGGTAGCTTTCACCTAAAACAGTCTTTTCCTGTTTCAATTTTCAACAGGGAAGAAGAACTCCCTTCTGCTTCAGAAGTTCCAGAAAGACCTGAATGCTGGCGTCTTCAACACACAGGAGAACGAGATCCTGAAGCAGATTATCAGGCAGGACAGGGAGATGGTGATGATGGTGGATCGCAAGCCATCAGTCACAGGGATGAATTCCACCCCGATCTCTGGAAACTCCATCATTAACTCTCCCGGTCAGCTGCCATATACCGCTGCCCTCAGCAACTCCCAATTCCAGCAGTCTGCACCATTAACCTACAGTACACCTTCCACAATGGTACCAAGGGTCCTGTCGGGTCCTCCACAACCTGCCTATGCTGTGCCAAGTATGTCACATGGCAACCTGAATTCGTCCTCCCCCAGCCCCCAAACACCCCTGCAGCAGCAGCAATGTGCCGTCATGTCACCTTGCTCCTTCACTACTGCCGTATGCAGCCCACCAGTTCAAAGTCCTCTGGCAGGCCGAACTTTCCAATATGGTTCCCCAACAGCGTCGCAGCTGTCTCTCATCCAGCAGTCGCTGCCTCCGCCTCCAACGCAGCAGCAGCAGCAACAGCAACAAGTACCTTCACCGCAGAGAAGCGACATACACAAGAGCACCCAGGCGCTGCACTCCGGCAGTCTGAGCCGAGAAGTGAGGCCTCTCTCTGCCTCCCAGCCTTCACTGCCCCATGAGACCTCCTTGCTCTCCAGACCGCACCCGACTTCAGGAGAGTCCTTGGCCTCCATCCCCCCGCCAGTGTCAGCAGTGCAAGGGACAGGCCTGCAGAGTGGCATCCGAACCACTGTCCCACAGAGAGTGACTCTCTTTCGACAGATGTCTTCGGGGGCTTTGCCTCCTGTCCGTGCCCCCCCTGCATCCCAGCACAGGGATTCTCTGGGCTCCAGAAGAGAATCAACAGTCTTAAGTAGTACAGAGACAGACCAAGACAAGTTACGTTTTGCATCAAATTTATGATTCCCTCTGACTTTTTTTTTAAACTTTAATTTATTTTTATTGAAACAGGACACTTTAAGTAAAAGAAAAAAATGGAGAGTATTTTTGTTTTCTCAAAGTTATTTGAAAAAAAAAACAACTGATAGATCGCCTGTACAGACTGCCCTTGTATTATATTTTAGTCACGTTCAACTCAAGAATGTATATGATACAACTACAGTACATATGGGTACATCCAGCTAGAATACTTGGAGCTGACTACTATTAAACTTCATTGTAAACACTAGTCTTCCTTTATTATGTTTTCTGAAGTATATGAAGAATATTTTCTGTTTTGGTTGTCTTTTTGTTTTATAACCGGAATGCAACATGAACCCTAGCCCTTGACTGGAAATTATCTTTCTTTTTCATGGATCAGAAAACAAAAAAAGACAATTCCTCAAGTGCAGCATCAATGCCATCACTGTGGAAAATAAAAAAAAATGAAAATGAAAACTGTGTATACCTACTAAAGTAGCTTACTTTTCAAATCTGAAAAATTTTGTTGAAACTATTAAAGTAGATTAAATTGTTAGATGTTCAATGACTTTCTGCAATACTTCTATAGAAGTACAGTCCTTGAATACTGGTTAATTAAGACCATGGCAGTGTTATGGGTCCAAAGGGAATAAAGGATATATTTGCTGCTTTTTTTTAGAAAAGGATGACGTTCGTCTGAGAGTAAGATGGATGATACTCTTTTTCTAATATGAATTTCAGAAAAAGATGGACATTAATGTTGCTTAATAAATATGTGTACATTTATAATATTTATAAACTGAAAAATATCACCATTATGCAATAGACTGTGATATAAAAATGAACTATATGTGTGTTGTAAATAATTTTGTAGGTGTAGTACTTCCTGATACTGTGTGGTGCATTCTCAGTCATGGCAATGTCTTATTTTAATCAAGAACATGGTATCATCTATAAAAGACACATATATGTATATATGTAAAGTTTTAAATAAATAGGATATTAAAAATATGGGTAGAGGATTAACAGCAAAACACTCAGACATAATCAGGGATTAGTAAACCTTAATGCAATTGTTGGCATCCTTAAAGAGACGACACAGGTCAAGAAAAAAATAATTATACTGAGAAAATCTGGCTACTTCTATTTTTTGTATTTGGCAATGGGTGATACATAATAGTTCAAAGGAAAAAATCAATTTCCCAGCAAGTAAAGGCTCAAGAGCATTAGTTTAAAGTATAGAGCACTTTATGTGTTTTTATCTTGTTTAAATTGTTGTGAGAGCAGTAGGTTACTATTGTCCCATTGGAAAAAGAGGCTGCATACAAACGGAAACAGATAATATTACTAGGCAACATTAAGGGAAGCTAAAACACCAGAAACATTCATTCATACAGTACTTCCATCAGAATTACTGTCTTTAAAGTTCTGTTGCTTCCATAGAACTGGGCATCTGTCCCTTAGTTTAAAATAAAACAAAAAAAAATGCATTGCAACTACAATAAATGCATATACTGCAAAGAAAAGTCTGCAATAAATAGGAGCTCTACAATAAAAAGGAATGTGAAGTGGAATTAGCCACTTATTGAGCCAGTAAATATGTTGCCTTCTGTGCCCTCAGGCTGCCAAAAAGCCATGCATATTGATCATGTGTCTTGCAGTATTCAGAGATATACAAACACATGGATGTCCTGGCATGGTTTTCTTTGATGTAGTGCAGCCTAGACATTTTGAACCAGTATTAAATTTTTTAAGCTGTTTTCTTGTTATACAGGTATGGTATTTAATACACTGTTAAAATATATTATTTCATTTGAAATAAAATTATGTATAACAGCTTTTAATGTAAAATGCTTTGTAATGGATACTTTTCTTGGAAGACAAAGAGGTTATATTTCAAGTTCATATTTGTTTTCACTCAGCTTCAGAAAGGTAGTATGATAATGTTATCTGAAAGACTAAGACAATTCAATGGAAGAACAACAATAACAAAAACAGTAAGAGAAAGTAATTGTGTCTCTACCACTGTCAAGAAATCCTACATTATGCGAGATAATAAGATACAAGTTATTTTTTTCTTTAGGTTGGTTTTTGGTTTATCAGGTATAGCACAGTGTGTTCTGCTCAATACTTGTCATCCTGAATATTCAGGCATTAAAAGGGCATTAATTCAGTTCACTATATCAATTCAGCATTTACTGTTAATAATATTGCTGTTAGAAGTTGTAAAAACAATAGCAATAGTAGTTATGTTTTCAATAATGCATGTAAAAGTTTATCTTGTATGCTATATTTTTGTTGTTTGAAAGGATTTACAAAAGCCTTCTAAACTGGGATGTCAAAACATGATGCACCAAATTTGTATTCCACGGTTTGGATGTACAGTACAAAAGTTGAGATGCTAAATTTTGACATATAGAGAATGTAAGAAAGGGACCAATTGGGAATTATAGATCTATCTGTATATTTCAGATGCCTGGCAATACTGTCGCTCTTTTTTTAAAAATGCATTATGCACACTAACTGAAACTGCTACTCAAATCATAGTCTCAGGAACAAATTAAGCTGGTTTGCATTAAGGTTTCTGTCTCTTTTTTCTGGTTATCTATTATTGAAACTTCAGATTTCATCTACATATTATGTCAGACAGTCCTACCTAAAGCATGCATTGTCACAAGCAGCCCGTAAATGTTATTTGTTTTAAATACTTAAATGAAAATACTATTTAAAATACTATTAATATTAAGTGTATTGTGAGATTACATTTTGTTCATTGTCTGCCTAGACTTTACATATGTGTGTCTGCAGCATCTAATTTTCATAAAGGACATTCTTAAGTATTTGTGCCTAAACTATAGCCATGTTTCATTCTTTGTTGCTATACGTATATGTATGTATGCATATATATATATATGCATATATAATACGGATGTAAGTTTTGTTCAATGTTTGGAAGAGAAGATCATGACTGTGTTGAAGAAAGCCAAATGAACTATGATGTTAAAACGGATTTCTATGGTTGAATCTTTGGATGCAGAGTGTGGCTCTATCTGTAAAAGACTTTCTTACTTCTGATATTGCATAGGAAATTATTAGGCAGTGTAAGAAGATTTCCTTAGAATGGTGATATTATCAGGAAGATGAGACATCTTAGTAATTTAGAGCACCTTTTCTAAATAAAATTAGCCACTTATGTTTGATTGAATATATTGTTGTGTGGAATGAAACTGGCCAAAGCAAACTATTCAGAATAATTTTATTTATTTAAAAATGCACTTTCTGATATGAAGCAGATCTATTATCTGGATTTTCAAGGTTGTTACAGTATGCTATTAAGAACGCTGTATCTTATAGTATAAAATGTTTCTGACCCTCCGTAGATCAAATGTGCAACAGAAAGCTCTTTCTGGTTTTATGTTGTAGTGTATTAGAAACAGTATACTGTACTGTGCAACCTACTGTATATCCATATGGCAGTGACATCCATATGCTCTTTTTGATATTTGCCTTTTCAGAAGAAAGTTTCCCACTGCTTTGTTTTTCTCACTATTATGACCACATAACAAGCATTCTGATATGGGCATTAAGTGAATATAATTGAGGGAAAGGAATAGTATGAAAACATTCAATAAACCAGCACATTGTATTTATATATTTTTTTAATTTTCAAATGTATATAGAAAGAACAAAGGCAACGCTTACACAACAAAGCAAAACTTTGGTTTAAGACTTTTACAATACAGGTACAAATTACCAGAAACTAAAAATAATTAATGTTTAGTAATATGTATGTATTGGAAAGGACACAGTCATTTTAAAGCTACATATGCTTATTAATTCCACTGTCATATTATACTTACAATCGTTCTTGTAAAACAAGGTTTGGTTAATGAATTGGTAGTTGGAAACCTGGTACAACAGAAGGAAAGATTAATGTATTCTTTCTTAAACTACATGCTGACAGTGTTTGTCTCTTTTTTTTCTTTTTTTTTTTGGTTTCTAAATAATAAATCTTTAAAAATCTAGAAAAAAATAAAAGAAATATTGTCAACTACTACCGAAAGGTGTTTTTTTTAAAGATAAATGAATGTAGGAGCAACTTTCTTTCATGAATTTTAAAAGAGATGGGAAGTTGTTTGAAATTATGGAAGCACAACTAGTGTTATTAAATATAACACCATAAGGTGATAATAATGTCATCATGAATGTAAAAGTGTAGTAATCTGCTATACAAGATCATGATTCCACAGTATCTTGCACCACAAACCTTTTGACAAAAGACAACATAATAGAGGACTGGAAGAGCAAGTTTGTAAGTAACAGCAATTGAACAATTATGTTGGACTTTGAGTAACACCCTTCAATCTGTTGCTGAATTTGCTGTTGCTGGTCCGTACATGTTTTGAAGTGGAGTATGAATTCCGAAAGATAATTAATGTACTAAATTGGTACTTTTAACTTTGAAATTTAAAGTACCTTACTGTCCTTAAAGTAAATGTTGTTGTGACGGACGTTCTGTTCATTTCCAGAACTCTTTATTCATTTATATTACTTTATCAGGTAGGGCAATTCAGAAGAAATTCTCATGTACAATGATGACCTGGAGACCCATTTATATAACAGGACATTTGCTGGAACAATCTGAATTAAGTACCTTGCTCAAGTGTACAACAACAGCATACTGTACATTGGGCTTAAACCTATGATCCTCCATTCAAGAGCCCTAAATGCTTCTCAAAGCAGCTACTTTAATGGAGTTCTTAACTGAAGTTTGGGAGTGATGACAACTACTGTAGGTTACTTTTGCCCCATTTGTTCTAAATAATAAAAATTCCCAATCTCATATTACAAAGGTTATATAGTATCATATGCAAATTCCTCTCTTTTCATCTCATGCAACCCTCCTTCATCTCATGTCTACCTTTGCAGCTCCCTATTGGTTAACTTCTCACTCTGCATGAGGGTCCCAACCCCTAGCTTCAGAGTTAAGCCAATCTCACTGTACTTGAATCCTCAATATACTGTACCTCCACAAATGCAACTAAGTCTTGGCTGTCATCACTCCTTGTAAAACATGTGTAAGACTCTCTAAGAGATCTCTAAACAGCATCCAATTCATTTAGAATAATATGCATTAGTAATTTTGATGCCCCATCAAATAAAAATGGAAGTAAACTAGAGATATCTCAAAGTAAAGAAAGCATTGTCAAGTACTGGCATTTCTTAAAATTAAGAAGTCATCTTAAATATTTTGAAACTTCATTGCAGTTTAATTTTGTTTTAACAAAAGTCATGTTAAATATTTAGAAACTAGATTGCAGTTTAATTTTGTTTTAACAAAATTCTCCAACTTATTTCAAAATATTTCAGATTAATTTGCTCAATATTTTATGATTTCTTCTTTTTCATTAGTATCTCATTCAGTATTGCATTAAAAATCATATTTGCACAATAAATGTTTCAAGAGGCTAATTCAATGTTGTTTGGGTTGTTGATAAATGTACTGTATGTGTCAGATCATACAGTAAATAGGCACTGAATTAGTAAAACATATAGATATTTTGTTTGTTGTTCTGTTTGCTATATATTGTAGAGCTTTCGGGTTCACGTGGGTATGCGCCCTCGCCTCTGCTGCCTCAGGTTGGCCCCCCACCACTGGGGACTCAAACCGTGGTCTCCAGCATCACTCAACAGGGAACCAGCCAGCTGAGCTAAAGGGAGATTTTCCCCCAGCCCGGCGGCTGAGGTCCCTGCTATTCACATGGAAGGGCAGTGACATCACCGCGCCGGCAAGCTGGCTCGCACAACCTATAATGTTGGTCGTATGTGTTACAATATTTTTTACTTGTTAGGATCTCATGATTAGATACTTCCCCAAAAATGTACACTCTGAAGGACAATTTCAACCAATTAAAATGTCATTTCTGAAAATACATTTTTAAAAGGATCAAACTAAATCATGTTATGTGACCTTGTGACTCCTGGCACAAATTTAGCCATTCTAATGATACAGTCATTAAGTAAAATGAATGTTTTCAATAAATAAACACCAACAATAGAGTATTGATCTGTGTACATATTGTAAGTAGTGGTTCTGTAATAAAGTGATTTCTGAATTCTTCAATGTTTGCTCAAATTGCTGAAACAACAATCATGTCAAGGTCACATCCTGAAGCTTTTTGGTTATTTGAGCAAATACGGTGTGTTTCAACTTTGAAATAACAAGGGAATGCTTATTAGTCATTCATAATTGTCCCTCAGAATGTTTTTTCAAAATGTTTTCAAAATTTTGGGATCATATTAAATTATTTGAGAATCCTGACAAACAAGTAAAGGCATTTCAAATTATAGTGGCAGATATGACTCCTGAAGAAGTCTTTCAACTTGATAGATACACTAGGGTTAACACTAATGCCGTATATGTTTGAGTCTTTCCATACAGTACTTTGGAGAAGCTGCACTGTGACTAGAGAGTCAGAATGGTCACCTGCCAAGTTCATGCCCTCCTTTTGAACTATTGTTCTATTTTAGTTTAATGAAGGTATCACAGCAGGCAAGTCAGCCATGTGGAAAGCGAATTATGTGGATACTGGTACACCAGCTTATTGTTACTGTTGCTGCTATTTTCTTTACTTAAATATAATGAATACACAGTTACAGTATATTGCTGTTTTCCAATATATTGTCAGTGGTACATACTGTACAGTATAGTTCTCTCTGTGATTTTTGAAACATCAGGCATGTTTGATTTTTTTGTCTTAAATCTCCAAAAAGTAATTAGACCAGGGTGTTTATTTTAGGTAAGATGAACCATTCTTTTTTCTGTATTGTACACTTTCCTGCATACAGAATAAGTTACAGCAGCTCCCATTCAATCACAGCCACTTCTCATTTGAAACCACTTTCAGTGTCAGTCATATATGTAAATCTTTTGGAATCCTGCGTGTAAACTCCAATTTGAAATAAATATTTTGTCTAAAAACATATAATTAGCAGGTTCATTATAACACTAAAAGCTCTTGTTGTTCTGAAATCCTGCAGTGGAGTGACAGAATAGCTCTGATTTAAAGAGAGGGGAATTTTTCTTTGCTATATTGCTGAATTTGACTACTGTTTGTTTAATATTTTCATATTTATATACTTACTCTGAATTTAAATATATAAAGATTAAAATTAAGTCTGAAATTCATTCACTTCTTTATTTTGCCTTGCAATTTTTCTTATGTATTGATTTTAACTTTACTTTTCACTGCTTCATTTTCTAATGTTTCTGCAAGTTAGTTCTTCTTACATGAGTTAGATAATTGATTGACAGCACCTGATTTGTCCTTGAGTCTAGTGAATGCTTTACACCTGCGTGTATACTGTATGTACACCTTTGTCTGGGTGTGATGCAAGGATTCTCAACTCTGGCCCTGAGGACCCATGTACCTGCTGATTTTCCTTGCACCTAAGCTCTTCTCTTAACATTCTTTATTGAAACAACAAGTTGCTTGGTTAGATTATTTTTTTGTACTTAAATGTTGGAGATTGATTTAAATAACTGAGGTTATTAAAAAAAACAACCTCCAGCAGGTTTAGTAAGTGAACATAATTAAGGAGTCCAAACAGGAGCTACTATTACTGTCAGTCTGATAAGGGTTTGATTATTTGAGAGCTCAGAAATAACTACAGCCAGCAGGTGTGTGGATTCCCAGGACCAGGGTTTTGAAACCCTGGAGTAACAGACTTTTGGGAACAAGGTAGATGACCACATGACCTGAAACTAGATCTTTGTTAAACCAGCTTAATCTTTACAAACAATAACACTTAATTCCTTGCATCTGTATAGCTCATTTCAGCCCAGAGGATCCCTAAAGCACTTTATGCTTTCCAGGTGAGGAAATGAGAAGTGAGTTGAACAAAGGAATGAAGGGTGAGGTTATGGAAGGCCAGACTGAGCAAGCCAGAAGTGAAAATTATGCAGGGCACTGTTGACACCCCTACTCTTATAAACATTGCAGTGCCTTTAAATATCTATGTCTTAAATTATATTTAATCTTTGATGTCTCATTCAAGGTGTGGCACCAGCTATAGCACAGTGTCTCTGTGATGTTGGTTTGGAAACCACCTACAGTACTGGTCAAACATACTATTTACACTAACATCTGAGATCCAGCAAGGGATCAGGTTACAATGTTGTTAAAACTGTTATCCAGAGGATTT